GCCGTGGTTTTTTGCTCCTTATGTATGCTTACTCTAATTGGCATAACAGCTGCATCAAGTACTAATTTTTGCTGTCCAGCCAGTCAGCATGCATTTCATCATCCCCCTAAGTTCACCAGTTGAATACTTTTTATCAGCTGGGTGGCACATAAAGTGTTAGTTTGTGATTGCCATCCTCCCACTTCCTAAAACGGTGAGAAGAGAGAATATAACTAGAGGACGTCATCAGAGAGGAGGGCAAAGAAATAAGGTAATAGCAAAGTGAAAGGGTTGTGAACCTTACTATAGGTAGTTGGAGGTGTTTACATGAGAGGGGTGCAAATGAGGACTGGGGAGACAGGAAATAAAGTGTCAGTGTTTGGTCATTGTTCCGCTTCCTATGAAGATACTTTGCATGTGTTATTGTACACTCATAGCTGCTCAGTGCAGATTATCTCATTGCAGCATAAGGGAGGGGATGAGAAGTAGCATAGCGTAATCACTGAACACCTGGCTTTCCACAGTAGATGGTATTCCGCTGTCAGAACTGAGCCAGGACTTGCAGTTTGGTAAGTCAGAGGACTTCTAGGCGATAATGATGTATGGCATGGGGTTATGCAAGTGGGTTGTCAGTAAATGGAAAAAGATTAAGGAATTAGTTGAGTTTAGGAGTCTAGGACTTTGCAGCGTTCAAGGGTGCATATGAGCCACTAATGCTAAGTTAAAGCAATTTGATTTGTGTCCTCTGTAATGTAGTGGCTGAGATCCCACATTTACCAGTAAACCTTTTCCCAAGTGCAGAGTTTTACCAAATCTCTGCTGACTTTGCTGGGAGCTGACGGCAACAAATTGCTTTCCAGTTTGAGTCCTTAAGCACCACAGTTTCTTGGACTGTTGCACCTTTGTCAAGGCTTTTGAAGATAGTAATGTATTAGTGAAAATATGCAGTGGAATTACTTTGTTTCTTTTACTTTTGTTACAGCTTGATTCCTTTCCAGGGTAGAAGTGTTAAATTTGCTAAGCCTGATTTTGAACTTGGTAATGGTAATGAAAATAGGATGAGAGTAATGCCTGTGGAAGTAATTAATTTGCTTTGTGAGTAAGCAAATATCATAATTGCAATCCTTAATTTTTATAAATCCATTTAGCATGAAATAAAAGTCAAGTTCCTTCCAGTTTTTTTCTCCCTATAGCATTTGAAAAAAATCAAATTGCACATGTATTTTAAGCTTATGTTCATAATTGCTTTAGATACTCAGTCTCCTTTTTGCAGCACAAATTTCAGCATAGCCAGGAGCATACACACAAACCTAGAAACCTAACCTTCCTGAATAGTCTCAAAGATACCTTTACTGGATAGCTCAGAGCACTTATTTTGGGTAGTAGTTAGGTTCCTCCCATCTGCATCCAAATCACTGTCTGATCTTCTTATCTGTGAAAGGGAAGTAAGAGCACTGTCCAGTTTCCCTGACAGACAATAAGTACTTAAGATGCTGGTGATGCAGGTAACAAAACCAGATAGATAGATACTCTTTGATTTCAGTTTCTGTTTGTATAACCAGAGTCGAGACTTAAGTATTTTGTTGTATCATTTTATAACTTGTAACTTAGTGACCTTACAGATTTTAGGCTTCAACAAAACAACAAAAACTATTATTTCAGTTGTACTGGCACCTACAGGTCTGTGGCCTAATATGCTAACAACTGTACTAGTATACAACACAGTCAGTGTTTGCTGTAAAGAGTTAACATTCCAATATATAAACCAGGGAAAGCTGAGTGAATGCAGGAAACAGGTAGAGAATTACAAATTGGTAGCAAGATTAATATGACCTAAATGAAAAAAAAAAAACAAACTCCTATGTTTGGATTTTTAAAGTATGTTTCCCTTTTTTAAATAAAATTTTCAGTCAGTTGTCACAAAAAGAAAAAGAATGTTACAACTGAATATCTCAAAATAATGCAAATGTTGCCATCCATTTCAGGAAGAGCAGAATTTTACTTATGTTTAAAGCAAAATGCATACAGATGTATTTATGTTCTGTTAAAACTGAATTTTAATTGGAATGTTTTCTGTCACATCCTAGTATAAAGTAGATTGTGCATATTGGCTATTTTTTGATACATGTATATTTTTAAAAGATGTCCTATATGTTAATAGGTAAAATATTAACCATGGCAGGGCTTGTATTTGAAAGGATGATCATGGTATATTCCTATACTAAACAATTGAAGAGTTATCAGTTAAAACGCACAATCTGATGTTTCTAAAACAGATATTTAGAAAAGGGTATTTTTCTTTATCTCGGGAGCAGACAAACATATATTAATCCAGCAAATCCAAGATTTATTTTCCAAAATGCATCAGACTTTGTATGTTGTTTATATGGCTAACTACAAAAACATGTCTGAACAAGGTGTGAGTGGATGGGTATGAAAGAGGAGCTCATTCTCTCTCTTTCCTCTGATTAGATAATTTTGTTGAACAACTAGAGCTGTTAGTGGTGAGCCAAATTAACTTTTGTGATGTCAAGTAGGAAAAGTAGTAGTTTCTTATTGAGAAAATCTTTCTTGTTGCAGACAAAACATTTCCTTCTTAATTTTCCAGCTCAATTAAACCATTATTTTATCTTGCTACACCATTAGAGTAATTATAGCCATATTACAGTACCAATATGCTACAATGCTGCCCTGAAATTAAATATTATGGTTACTTCTGCAATCACATGTGTGGTTATGAGAGTATATTTTCATACCTTCTTAGCTACTTCTCTTAAACTCAGATAAGCACTTACGCCTAACTTCGTCAGAACTGTGCCCATTGAATCCAAGCAGGATCTGGCAAACCACGGTTTCCAAAATCTCCTCAGGAAGCTGTTAGTAGTATGTCTTTAAATCAATAGAGTCCAGTAAAAGTTTTCAATCATATGTGGCACAAAACCATAATCATGAAAGCTGTGCCACGCAATAAAAGATTGGCAGTTTTATTGAGTTTTCCTGAGTGACTCTGTTTTTATACAACTTTGCATTTTTGGAATGTTAGTTAAAAAACAAAACAAACAAAAAAAAACCACTCACCATCCACAAAAGACCCAAACAAAACAAATAAGCAACCTTAAATAAATGTATATAACAGGTACCTGAAAATTCCTTCTATTGAGCAAGCAGTTAATACATTTTGTAACTGGATCTCAAATACCAAATCAAATGTAAGAATGGTTTCCTCCTTTTTCTGACTGGAAAACTAAAAATCACCACCTAAAATTCACCAAATAGTTTGAACTGAATTTTAAAATGACTGTGAAGTGGCCTGACTTAAAAATGAGTGTGTCTATAAACACATATAAAAAACATTTCAATGTGTGTGTATATATACACAAATAATGTATGTAAGTATGTACACATATTGAGATGTTTGTGTTTTTATAGGATTATTACAGGATTATATGAGTGGGCTAAATACTTTTTCAATACCATACTTTTATGTTACTTTTATGTTACTTTTAGAATAAAGGTAACATAAAAGTACGTTACATAAAAGTATGTTACCGTTAGAATAAGTCAGCGCCTAATATGTTTTTTTTATTTATTCCATAGAACATCTTTTGATGTCAATGAATGTGAAATTCTTAAGGAATTAAAAATTCTATATATGTTGTAAAACAATTTATTGAAAATAAAATGTGTTACAGTTTTTGTTGTACATATTGTACAAGTGGAAAATATAAATGTTTCTCAACTTTATAGTGAGCTGGATTTTCAAAGATTTTATTTTGATGCTATCATAACAACTGGAAATACCTAAATTGGGTAAGATTAGAAAAAGCTTATTTACAGGGCATGCCTTTTTATTTGCCATTATTTTGACTTTCTAATGAGGCAGTAAAATGAAAATGTTGCTAATAAAATTTTAATTGTATTTTGTATTGACTTGTTGCTGAGATTTTAGATAGCATTTTGTTGAAAGGATTGAGAAATTTAAAAATGTTATCCCTACACATATGGTCCGCAAAACCTGGATGAATCAGTAGGCTACTAAAAATGCATTTTTGTAAGATAAAGCATCAAACCAATTCGATATCATGAAGCAGATGGTATATTAAATCTTTGAGACCTATTTGTAAAATGTATATAGAAAACAAAAGCTACAAAGAATATGTATAAATACTGAATTTCTGTCTTGAATGTCATTCTTTACTCATAGCAATAAGTCAATAAGGAATAAATTTGTTGATGTGTTGATCTTAATGAGGTTGTATCCGTTTGAAACTTTGAGGAAAGGTAGAATTTACAGGCAAATATGCTTTTTATGAAGACTTTTTGATAAACTTTTTAAGATTTACAGATACTACGTTTTATTCTTTCAAAAGTTTCAGCGTTCATATACTCTCTTCAGATGAACTTCATTTCCGTAGACTGAAAAATAATACACTGTAGCACATAATGAATTTGTGTATACCATTGTGGACAAAAGATTAAATAATCAAGATCATGTCCTGTTCAAGACGAACTAATACCTGTCCATGCTATACCATATTTGTTTTATTTGCTTTAGCCAAGTGGGGTTTTAATTATTGCTACTATAGATGTTTGAAGGGAAGGTAAAGAATTTCAGACACCTTTTTTTCTAAGAAGCTGGTTTGCTACCTTAGCCTGGAAAGAGAGGAATCAGATGAAAACACTCACTTTGATACAATCAAAGTCAGTCTTTCCTTACAAGCAGAATATCTGCACTTGCTTAATCTTTTGGTCTGAAATGTACTATGCTGAAAGCAGTACAATGTGTGGGAGAATGAAAAATATTATTTTGCTGTTAATTTATCTCTAATTCTTTGTATTGTACATTTGAAACAGAGTATTAAAAGCGTGATGAGCTGTATTTTTTTTTTTAAATATTTTTTTTTAAACCATGGTAACTAACTTGCTTCATTCTTTTCCTTCCTTTTATAGGGTAGCAAAAATATTATAGTGTTTATGCACAAAGCAGAAGTATTATTTATATATATTTTTTTTAATTACAGGTAAAGATTATAGTTCCCAACAGCACAGCAGGTCTGATAATAGGGAAGGGAGGTGCTACAGTGAAGGCTATAATGGAGCAGTCAGGGGCTTGGGTGCAGCTTTCCCAGAAACCTGATGGGATCAACTTGCAAGAGAGGGTTGTCACTGTGAGTGGAGAACCTGAACAAAACCGAAAAGCTGTTGAACTTATCATCCAGAAGATACAAGAGGATCCACAGAGTGGCAGCTGTCTCAATATCAGTTATGCCAATGTCACAGGTCCAGTGGCCAATTCCAATCCAACCGGATCTCCTTATGCAAACACTGCTGAAGTGTTACCAACTGCTGCAGCTGCTGCAGGGCTATTAGGACACGCTAACCTTGCTGGAGTGGCAGCCTTTCCAGCAGTTTTATCTGGCTTTACAGGCAATGACCTGGTGGCCATCACCTCTGCACTTAATACATTAGCCAGCTATGGATATAATCTCAACACATTAGGTTTAGGCCTAAGTCAGGCAGCAGCTACAGGGGCTTTGGCTGCAGCAGCTGCCAGTGCCAACCCAGCAGCAGCAGCAGCCAATTTGTTGGCCACCT